GCAAAATTCGTTCTACATTTGACTTGCCGAGGCCTATTACTGCACTTGTAGATGTCCGTTTCTATACTGCCTATTTGCTTTTTTTATGTGCTGATATTGCATCGCTTCCCCGCTGATATCAACGGGGAAGCGATGCAAAGTGTATACGTTACAGCCGCATTCGCTTTGCGACTTCTTGTGTTCGGTGCACAATTTGTCGCGCGCTATCTTCCGTTTTCGGGAATTGCTGCTGCAGCCAACGACTGCGCAGTGGCAGCCCGATGACCAAATATGCGCGGACGTGATACATCGACGTATTAGCCCACCTTATTACAATTCACTTCGCTGTCAAGGGCTTTAAAACCCATTTAACGCGCACCACTTCAGCACCTTGTCAGCCGGCTAGGCCTGCTCCCGCATACCGGAAGTGTTAGAACCGGAAGAACTATTCCCGCTGTGCGCCGAGTCGCCGAGTCGAGGCTACGCACGTTACGCGCTGGGTCGAGGTTAGACGGAAAAGGTGTATAGACTGCCTTCCCAACTGCATTAGAGGGCCACACAGTACAAACAATACTAGCGAATTATAAGTAGAATTCAGAGTCTTTAGCATTTATTGCCGAAACAATGCAACAAAAAACTGGCATCTATTAAAAATAAAAACTGCATTTGTCGGTGTATACACCTTTTCAAAAAAACGCTCCCAGGCCGCCGCCATGCTGCTAATGCGGCTGGTGCGACTCTTGCGCCCCCTAGAGTTAGCCAGAAATTTTCTACCCTTCTCTTGGACTGTGGAAATCTGCTCAGAGCGATTTTCTACTTATGCTTTGCGGTTTCGCATTCAACGTTTTCTGGCCCCTCTTGAAAGTTTCCACTTATTTTTTCTGATGCGTGCTGCATACCCTTTCTGTGTTACCTTCCACTCTGAGAAATAGGGCTGTTAAGTGCCTGCCATTCAAGCGTTTCTGCTCGACATTCACGGGAAAGGAAGGAGGGGAAGGACGTTGAACGACCCTCGACACAATTTATGCGGACAATGACAACAGTTCTCCCCCTCCCAAAGATAATCCGCGTAGAGTTCTTCTCAGTCATAGCCAAAAATAGTTGTTTGGGTGGGTCGGAGTCAGTTGTGCCCGCCCATTCCTTTGCCTTGGTGCTGGTGTGAAAAAAGGAAGCTCTGCCCAAAATGTGCCCCAAAACAAAGTCATCTCGGATTCCGTCCGATCATCAAGATGCGACTGTCATTGACTGTGACTGTTATTTAAGATCTTTCTCCTGTCCATCAGTAAACACATTATTTGTGAGCGTGAAAAAGGCATGTCTTTCGGCTATTTCCTGTTTCAAATTATTTTTGACAGCTGTGCACTTTGTCGTTTGACACGCCGCAAAATCAGGCGGCACCATCAAAACTTGTCGTCAAAAAAAAGGGACGAGTAACATTCCAGTCGCATTCGTTCTGTCGTGCGCATAGCCAACAAAAATAGTTGCCAGTTGTTGTTTTTTTTTGTTTTTTTCAAATGTGTTACAATGCTTTCTCAATGTCCTCGGGAAAATACATACGCCGTGAAACACAAAATACAGCCGGGAAAGAGTAGAATTTTGCAGTCAGCAGCGTTTAAAACTGCGCCTACCGAAATCACATTCCACTCAGTTAGGGTTAGCAGGGATGCCGGTGAGAGTCTAGCCTCAAACCCACTGAATGGGCTCGAAAACGGTTTGTTGCCCCTTGGGGTCGAGCGTTTCTTGGAAAGGTATATAGTCTTTGTGGGCCCCAACTCCAACATGCCTCAGCATTTGCTAAAAATGGCGTAACAGAGCAGACAGAGGCACAGGGAAGCAAGCAGAGCAGTCTGAATGTAAGAATTTTTGTTAAGTTATTTGAACCTTTACAAGGGCAGAGCCCAGGAAAGGCGGCACGGCACGATTGATGTCAACAATCGCGTGCCAGACGAGACAGAAAAAACACATTAATAAATGCCGAGTGGGGACAAGTTTTTGAATTTGAACCTTTCTCAGCAATTTGTCAGTTATAATTCGTAGCTAGGGTCCCGTGCTTTCAAAGTTTATTTTTTCCCACATATTTCATGTTTGGAAAAAGTCGGCATTCATAGGGGGCCTATGTCGAGGAAAACAGGACACAGGCGTCGGATTCCCCAACTTCCAGGGAACGTGCGTCCGATTCAAAGTCCTGAAAATCGTCCTGGTACCGATAACGCAAGGAAACAAGATGGGGGGGGGGGAGTGCAGCTTCCAAAGAGAAAGGTGCTCTCGCAGGCACTTCAATGCGGGCCGTGTTCTGGGTCGCTGCAAAGTAGACCTGCAGACCAAGATTCCCTCTCCTGAAGGTTTCCTTTTTCAAAGACTGTTTCAATTAAGAGGTTTTTGGTTTTCCCCAATCCTGATAGAAACGACTTGAGCGTTAATCGTCGGGGTTTTCCGGTGTATACCAAGAACGCAGAGCCCTGGTCGTAAATATTTCTGACTAAGGTGGAGCAGACTGACGCTCGGGCAACGGACCCTTCCCACCTATAATCGAATGACCACTAAAAACTAGCGGGTAGATTTTTCAGCTGTTCACCAGTCCACCGGCAGACGGGAGTCGTGGGTAAACGCGTCTGCTTATACACACTAAATGCATGGACACAAAAGCCGCGAATCTTGGTAACAAAGCGGGGGTGCTTGCGTAAACGTTCGCCCCGCCCTCAATACAGCCGGCGATTGAATGACGACACGGCCCAGTGCACGAGAGGAAGCGGACGCCACGCGGGTGCAGGAAGTCTCCTTTGCACAACGTCACCCAACACTGCGCGGGGACGGTTAGTGACGTGCATCGACCGTCACGCCCGACCCCACGAGCTTTGGCAGCGGACCGTTCGAAAAGAATTGCACCATTTAGGCCTACCGTGAAATGCCGCAGAAGAGCCCATTTCACTCAAGCGCTCACTATTAACATTTCCCAAACTTGGAAATTCTGCAAACTGTACATTCAGCGCCCAATTCAACCGGAGAAGCGCCCATGTCTGGCTGAGCCCAGCAAAAGTGGGGTGGGCGCTTCGACGGTATTTTACGGCAGTAGGATGCTCTCAAAAGCTGCTACTCCCCTGTACTTCGCGCACCGACATTTGACGAAGGTTTGCCCACTCACTCTGCAACCATGTTTCTTGAGATTATAATTTTACGGAGAATATGTGTAGGGCTAGGGTTTCATAAAAAAAAGTCCCGCAGAAACTGACACAATAGTGTAAGCTCGTAAGTGTAACGCGCAAGTGCAACACGGAAAATTAACGAGAAAGTGTTAGTGTGCTAACTGTAGCGGAATATCAGTAGTACATTATCACTTGTAAGCCACATCTACCCTTGTCTTCTTTTCCTATTACGTCATAATTTGGAAGAAAAAGAAAAGATTACACTTGTAAACATGCAAAAGTGTAAAAACTAAAAAATTTTTTTTAGCTTTTTAAATTTGTAAATTTATTAATTCTGCATTTTTTTTTTTGTTATGTGGTACTGTGCATGTTGACTGAATAGATTTTTACATGTTTTTTTTTTTTTCTTTCTATAATGACTCTTTTTTTTTAGTGTTTGCTGAGCAATGTAGAAGGGTGGCAGGGCATTAACAGGTAAATATATGTTTACCTTTTCTCCCCCCACCCGAGACTGAACAAGTTAATATTATCATTATTACTATTACTAATGTACCAGGTTTAAATGATAACAATTTACAACATTCTTTTCACTGCAAAAATAAACTATCGTAAACATTACCAAACGCTCAGTCTCTGCACAAATGTAGCGCTAGCAGTGTGGTCCAGATGTCAGTTTCAGAGCTTGCCGTAATCTGGATAAAAAGTTCTAAACGATTTTCTGACATCTTAATTGATGCCACATTCATCTGCACGGATTTGCAGGCCTTGCTTGCAATTGCTTAAGTGAAAACTGCCAAATATTGCTTATAGCCCTCCAAGCACTTCCTACATAAGATTTGCACTCAATTCAAGATTTACTCCTTTCTCTTCTCCGTGTTGACAAGCTCTTCACACTGTCATCACTCTTTCCATTTATTAAGCCCTTCCCTCTCGAGGTTTCTCGTCCAGTAAATCAGTCTGTGTTTAATCACCGATTCAATCGACCAATTTATTGATACCTGTCCGCTGGGAACGTGGGCCTCAATATGCCCACGTTCCCAGAAAATTTTGTGAAAACTACTTTTTTAATGTTTCAATACATACCACTCTTTGGCAAACATGAAAAACACTACAACGGTTCTTTTTTTTTCTTCCAAGAGCATCTAATGGAACACACAAAGATCAAATGCCCCTTTCTCGGTTCATTCTCTTCCAACAGAAGAAAAGAATGAACTGACAGTTAAGGGCAGTTTCTGAAGTTGCTCTCGGGCAATATGAACAATTTTAGACATCATTGCGAATATGAAGAATAGAGAACCACGAAGATGCTAGTTTGTTTTTACAGTTTTCGGAAATTAAGAGTTGGGCAGAATTAATGACTTCCTTCAAGGTTGACCTACAACATCGTCTCCTGCCGGGAAGAAAACCGGCTCAGAGTTTCCTTCTCTCCATTCTCTTATGCTCCTTTCTCCTCCTCTCCCCACAGGAGCAGGTCTCTGAGCTGAGCTACTCTCCACAGAGAGGAGGAGGGTCTTTCTCGAATTGAAAGGAGCAATTGAAAGAGCTCCTTCCTTTCAGGTTGCTCATCGACCTTTTAAACGGAGACCGAGCCTATTTTTTACGCTATCATTACAAATTTGTTTTAGATATACGAAATATTCGGAACAGATGTAAAATATCCTCACCAAACAAGCTAGACCTTTGAGAATACAGCCCTGCTGAAGTTCCCCACAGTCCAGCAAGATGGTTAGGTTAGGTTTGGTTAGTTTAGTTTACGTTGCTCAGTTGGTTGAGCCGAGCATGACCTTAGGCCTAGCTATAGCTAAGGTGCTTCTCAAGCTCCCAAGTAGTAATGATGCCACTCTTGAGGTTCACATAGGGTGGAATGAGAACACTCACCAGTACAGTGTGCATCCCCAGGTAGAGCCTGCTAATGCACAGCAGGGCACACCAGACTGTGCAAACTAGGAGACCCAGAGGCAGGGAGTACTGCAAGAGAAGGCCCCGTCAGTGCATTGGCAGAGCAGACCCTGTCTTCCCTCTCTTCCCTGCAGTGAAACACTGAGGGGGCTCTGCGGCAGCTTCAATCTTGTACGCTATTCCCCTGATGGCCAGTTCATACTAAACGCATGTCCATCAAAAACCTAGAGTCCCTAGTGCAGGACTGGGCAGATGAATTTGAACACCCTCAAGAATGCCACCATGTTGATCATGTAAAGAAAATGTCTTTGCAGTTTTAACTACTGCTTAGACGGACACAGGGGCGGAGGCAGGAATTTCCTGAGGGGGGGGGGGGGGGGGGGGGGGGTCAGGTGTTGGTCAGCGTACCATTTGTTTAGGAACCCCCTCCCCCTCTCTCTCGTTTCACGCCCTAAATTTTACACATGCAGAGGGGGGTCAGGTCGTCTGGACCCCCCCTCTAAATCCGCCCCTGGACGGACATATGCTTAACAATATACCTGAATAACAGTACTTGGACTTTCAGACAACCTGTCTCGGAAGTCCTACATTGCCTCTGCTACCTCCAAATGAAGCAATGGCAATAAAAACAACAAACACGAAGCATTTCAACCACTGAGGTTAAGTTACTCACCATGCAACGCATTAATTCGGCATATAATGAAATATGCCAACGTCGTTTGGGACCTTTACACAACTTTCATATACAAAACTTTGCATGGCATGACTTGCCCACCAACATTAATCTAGCCAACTTTTACAGACTGAGCAAGAATTGATAAATTGAAAGTCCTCTACCACATCATGACAGGGGAACTCAAAAATAAACACCTGCGACCTGTTTATCTCCTCCACTAGAACGCCAACAGCTTCACATTAAAAAAACAATAACTTTAACTTCAAATCAATGCCTTTGAATATGTGTTTTCCTCGCACCATACTGGACCGGATTAACCTAGCTCTTGGTGCAACTAATTATAATTTCCTTAACAGGTTCCTACAGCTAAGATGTAAATCTTCTTGCATATGCTTCCTTCACCGCATTTACTACATGTCTTCTCTTTACCATGGTCTCCTAACATAGTCACCTCTGGTCACACCTCCCACCTTCATTTCTGTGTTCTACCCAAAAAACAGTCGCATTGCGGAATGATCCCCACGATTGCCTCGTCACCGAGTATAAAAGTGAGTACATTTGACATGCACTGGCACAGTAAAAGTTTTGTTCCGGGTGCATTGTGCACTCACAGAGCTCCAATGGTCTAAACAAATTCTCAGAGTGCGGCCTGATGGCTGCCACCATCTATGTCGTAGTAAGTGGACCAACCTCAAACTGAAACAAGCCCACTGCAGTGCCAGCGGGGCAATAGAAGATAGGGGAAAAGGTGACAGTGCAGTCTGTGTGAAGTTGCCAACTGCGGTGGAAACACCACAAACAACTTGAGTGTCGTAGCTATTCCTACCGATGACGCGAGTTTCCCACAAAAATTAACAATAGTGAACTTCAAGAATGAAACACCAAAAAAATACAGATCCGAAAATTATTTTTGACATAAAACCCGTAGAAAAATGTGCAAATACGATTTTGCAATAGCGAGTGAGTTCGTTTTTTGGCCATCTGCCCGAAACTGGCGATCAAGCATCCCCGTTAGCGAAACATTGCATTGCAGACCAAGGACCCTTCTCCTCCTTGTCGGAGCTATGCACAATATCGCTGACATTAACAATTTTTGGTTGTGTTATCCTTCTGTGGTCCTCAATCATGTTATCTGGGACATTGATGTCAGAGGAGCAAAACTCAACTAGCGCTGTTGCTTGTGCTAGATTATGCCAGATATGCATCCCAATCTGTGCCCCTCCGGACTTTGGGTTTCAAATCTCCCAAGGCACATGGAGACTCAAACGAAGCCCACTGGGATTGCAATCTGTCACACAACCTGTCCTCTCGGTGCTAGTGCAGCACATTGGGAGTGCCAGGGCCGGAAGGAACTCGAAGAGCGCAGCAACTTGTAGAGTGCCAGCCATAAAGGGCTTGCTGCCACACTGTGAGTGAGAACCAGAGCAATGAAACGAACTGGCTATGCCCCAAAAGTGCTGGTGATCTTATTATAGTCGGTGAGCACTCCATGCCAGCAGGAACAACTGAAGAGGAACAACTCCTGCCTGGAAACCATCAAGAAGCGAGTCTGAACGTGGCAATCAAACTTGACACAAGCCCACTGCCGCTCTCTGGCACACAACGAAGAGAACTGGCAGCCATCGTGGCTTTTGGCTTATGAGACGGGGCTTTCATTGACACCAGTCGTCGTCCTCACAACCCCCCTTCTCTCTGGCCGCCCGCACTAACCGACAGGCTGGGAATGACTGCTGCTCTGCCCCGGTTCCCGGGCACGAATTCCCAAAAAGTTTGGGGAGTAAATTAACGGGGCCAATAGACCAATCCGGAAGTATGCAGCGCCTCCCGACGGCTCCTCGAAGCACTGCAGCAATTCGAAGTACGGTGCAGGAAGGGGTGCTCAAGGATCTGTTGAGCATTTTTTGATTTCAGAATGCAAAGAGAGCGGGACAATAACGACGCAGGGTGCGAATCAGCTGTGTGATGTGTTCGCTTTGCTTTCTTTTCGAAATCGTAGAGGTACGAGAGAAGAAATTGTTCCGTTCCCAGGATGTGCGAAGCGTACGGGCCAGCCCGAACGTACATCGGAACGGCCCCACAATTCCCCGCGCGGTGGATACGGGGGTGTACGCCTCGTGTACGCCTGAGGGACCGTGGCTAGCGCATTTTCATGAATGTCCGAGTCTTACCCGAGAAACGCGATTAAATCTCGACCTCAGGCGTGTTTACTTAGGCCTCCCCACCGAAGGCGACGTGACGTTCATCAAAACGTGCAGTGCCGGGCAGACATCCACTGGGCGCGTGTGCTCGGCTGCACCTGATGTGGAACGATCGCAGCTCCCGTGAGAGCACTCACGGAGACAGCGTGTGGTCGGGGTGCCCCAAATACTCGGCCGGCGCGCTCACCTCGTAGCGGTGCATGGTGAAAACGAGCAGGCCAAAGGGCACCGAGGCCCCCCGTCATGGCGTGCGTGGACGGCATGCCATACTCCGCCGCGTACTTTCTGTCAAACTGGACGACGGGTGGCGAGCTCGGCCGCGGCCAGCGGATCACGTCCTTGGCGACCCCGCCGCAGTAGAGCGCCAGCGCCCACACGGCAAGCACCCGGCGGCACACGGCCGCGTCGAAGTTCCACAGCAGGAACGGGAAAAAGGTGGCGTAGAACATCTCGTAGCCCAGCAGCGAGCCGAAGTGGAACAGGTAATACCACAGGGCGCTGTCCACGCGGCACGGCACCGAGGTGTCCCGCAGCACGACACCGCCTCCCCGCCCCGTAGTAGCCTTGGAGCTCGCGCCGTTGGTCGAGCCGTGGCGGTGCGTGAGGCCGTTGCTGTGACGGAGCTTGTCGCCGCTCCGACCGTTCTCGACGATCCGCTGCACGCCGAAGCAGTTCTGGACCTTCTCGACTAGGTGGGGGCTGTTGAGGGCCCGGGCCAGCGCCGCTGCCCGCTCCAGGAAGCCGCCCATGGTGAGCACCCCGCCTGTTGCTCCGGCCCGCCACGCGCCCGCTATCCGCGACCGACGGAAAGAACGGAGCAACGGAACGAACGGAACCACCGGCAACCACCGGAACCACGGGTGGGCATCACGTGACTCCTTTGATGCCCGGACAGTGGCGCCTCTAGCGGACTCGGAGTCTACGGAAGCAGACGACGCGTATGCGGAGCACAAGTTCGTCTGCATCTTGCGCATGTGGTAGCGGTGGTGGCGGTGGCGTCAAAAAGCCGAGCTCTGATTGGCTGGAGTAGAAGGATAGGAATCTGAAGACCCAGGGTTCTGCCGGGCACTGTTTGCATATTAGCAGACCTCAAGGTAAGCTAGCATTGAGGTCTACCCACTATCCTTCCAAACAGCCAATCAGAACTTGGCGTTCTGACGTCCCGCAACCCCTGCAGAAAAAGCAGGCGCCTCGAGCTTGGCGAACCATATTTCGTAACCCCAAAAGCTGAAACAAGTCATTACGGTCAGTCCGCTTGCAAAGCGGAATGCACTGATCGCAACTGGAACGACAATCAAATAACGAGGCGCGCAGAAACAAAACATTGTGTTGCTTGTATATTTCTACAGATGTTAGTATGCCTGAAAGGGTGACCTGTCTCTTAGCTGTAGATGAGAAACCTAGGATTTTTAACGTGCGTCACGCAGTAGTGATCACACGAACGCGTGTCGGTACGAAATTCATCGAGATCGAAACGGGCGGGGGGTGGGGATCGAACCCAGCATCTTCTCCAGCGCGCGCAGCAACAAAGATAGATCAGTTTATTTAGCGGTCTCAAACTCCACTCGGGGGATCACACGTGTTTGGAGCGGATCTGGGAAGCGGGAAAAAGTTTTTTAGCTACTCGAACTACGTCGTAAGCGGTTACTGTTGATCTGTTACAAACTGCGTTGTCACAATTTTTCACCTGAACAGGTGATCATTAACACGTGCGCAAACAAGATTACCAAAGCAGCGCACCAGCCGCTGCAGAAGACAAAAAGTAACGAGAGAAATGGCCGTGCGAACACCTTCCGAACTTTGCTGGAAAGATGGGGTCCCCATCCAAGACGAAAATAAAAAGAAATGGGGAACAGTCGCGAGAAACGGCGAATAAAACAAAGAAGTTAGCAGCCGATACAAAGATACAAATAATAGTCACTATTTTAACTTCCACCGTCAAAATATAAATATATATGGGTGTTTTCATCTCAAATCGGGCAGGCTAAAAGGAACTAATTTTTAATTTTCACGAAAAAAAAATATATGTTTTGGGGGGGGGCATTTCTCAAATGAAGGAGGGCGCAAACCGCATGTCCCCCAGATTTTTTGTTCTCGAGTTACGAGCCGTAGAAGCCGCAGTGGCAGAAACTAGTGTTTTTGCCTGCCGTCGCCTGGGGTATTTTCGCCCGCGAAATTGTATTTAATTACAATTGTATTTGAAATACCCACGTTTTAGTATTTAAATGCACACGTCAAATAATTACCCAATTTGTAATTAAATACGAATGCAAAATACACAAAGTATTTGAAATACGTATTTCAAATACTTGTATTTGAAATACTGCCCATCCCTGTATATATATATATATAACTGAGAAGAAAAAACCCTTAGTGAATAGAGCAACAACGGACGATTTATTCTTCGACGTTTCGGTCGGAGTCCGGCCTTCGTCAGGAAGTTGGCGTTGGTTCTTCCTGACGAAGGCCGGACTCCGGCCGAAACGTCGAAGAATAAATCGTCCGTTGTTGCTATTTTCCACTAAGGTTTTTTTCTTCTCAGTTATATACCCACGCCTTCGGCCTCCCGCCACCGTGCTCGTTATATATATATATATATATTGACGTTTTCGACGTTACTTTTGTAAAAGTCAAAATAGTGGCTTTATTATTTCGACGTCCATCTTCAACAGTGGCGGATCGGAGGGGGTGGGGGGCGGTGGGGGCGATCGCCCCCCCCCCCCCCGGGGGGGGAGGGGGGAGGCGATATAAAATTATAAAATTAAAAAAAATAAAAAGATTAAAACAGCGGTGGGTGGACGCGCCTGCTGGGCGCTTCCAAAGTGGGGTTTATCTCCGTCAAGGTCACGGTACGTCTTCCCGACAGGGACGGCGCCAGGAGTTTCGAAGTGGAGAGGCAGCGGGGAGGCGCACCAAATATCAGGGTCCTCGACTGCACGCACACTTCCAAACAAGGCCAGCACGTCGAGCACGGCGGGAAAATACCTTTAACATATCTAGTCCCCCTTTTTCTCTCTCTCTCCCTGTCTCCCTCTCCCTCTTTGGGGGTTGTCTGCGAAAAATTTGTGCCCTGAAAGCTCCCAAACGCAGACGTCAAGCAGCCTTCCTCAAGGGTAGCGGATTATCCTTCCTCTCTAGCGGCCGCCTTTTCATCACTTTTCGTTAGATGGTTTCTTCGTGCTTCTGGGCTTGTTTTTTGGCATGTCTTTTTTGGCTTGCTTTGGGATGCTGTCGCCCACGGGCTCACTATAGGTATCTTATTGGCACGGTGTGCTCATTGCCAAGGCAAGTGCGGAGGGGACGTACCAGGAGGAGACGTTCCAGGGGGGGGGGGGGGGGATGCAGCTTGTACAACCAGGTGACCAATTGCTTTTCTTCTCAAATGAGAGAGGAAGCAAATGCTCTAGGTACAGTGTAGTCTGGGTCTGAGCTTCTCCTGAAGAAGCTCCGGACTTCCCCACGACCTTGGCTTAAACATAAGCCCGCTTTCGTCCTCGCCTCCATCCCTCAATGAGGATCAGCGCCGCAGCGCGGAATACAGAAAGAAGCCGACGAGCGCCAGAAGGGGGAGATGTTTCCTCTAATGGGCTTCATACTGCCTGAGGTACGACTTCTCGTGGCGGGAAGCTAATAAAAGAAAGATAAACGGTACGAGCACTCTAAAGGCTGGAGGCTGCTTACACGGGGTCCTCAAGCCGACGCCGTAGGCATTTATTTGTATACAATGCCGTTTCAACTTAGGGTGGCGGGACATATCTTAGGAAAGGCGCCCGCTACCCCTTGTCTCCCCTTGGCGCCGTCTTTTCCAGTTAAACGCGGCTTTTGTGGATTGACGGCAGAGCTTTCGCGCGGCTTTGCGGGAGCGAATATGTGTGTGTCGAACGGACTTGGAGAAAACGAGCCCTTTCAAAGATGCGGCTATACATAAATTAAATAGACAGTGCCTGTACCCGTTCGAGTGAACACCGACTCCCAAACATCCATGCTGCAGTCGTGATCGGCCTTTAGCCCAGTTGAGATTCGCCGACCTTACAACCGCTCTGCCCTATCTTTGCTCTGCACCTGTCCTCTCGACCCTGACGAATGAGCTAACTACCCAGAAACAAGTAGGTGTTACTTTGATACAGAAAATATCCAGACGAAGTGCAATTGAATATAATTTGGAAGGATCCATTGCTGGTTTAAGGTCTTGTCTAAGTTCAAAAGTTATAGTTGCCGAACTGCAACATGCTTTCAAAAATATTCAACAATTATTCGCTTTCGTTCTCTCGAGTTGCATCCAGAACACGTGAAAACACGAGTTTGGGTTGGCAATGCCGCATGCGCTGCGCTCTGGACATTCTAAATATACGGCGAACAACCGACGAACTTGCATGGCAGCGTTCGTTTCGCTCGCTGCGTCAACAGTGTTTTGACGCCGCGACAAGCGTCGAAGCCGCCGGGCCATTTTTGTCGCTTGTTTGCAAAGTACTCGCTCCGCTGATTTAAGCCGCTCTTCCCGTTGCCGCAGCAGTTGAGCCCTAGCTTCAACCAGAATGTCTGCCAAGGCAATGTCTTTAAGCTGCCCTAAATTGACTGTTCACGTAGTGTCGGTCTGAAACCCAAGTTTCAGAAAGGATATAGTGTCACCACAATTTTCGAGATACTTACCTCTAGCGTGTTTTGTGGTTTCGTTGGTTTCGTTTTGTTAAGTTTCTGACGGTTTTGTGTTGGCGTTTTGACGGATTCATGTGTTCCGCGCCTCAGTTTCGCTCCTAGTTAGCAGACTGGCTCGACAGTTTATCCTTTGGGATGTCACACGCCCGGTTGCGATGTTCTGAGCATTCTGAGCTCGGATATCGGCACGCGTCTCACTTAAAATGTTGAATCTACAGCAAAGGCGAGCTGGATACCCCTCTTTCATGCCTGCACGGAACAAATGTAAGTTCGTACAATACGTAACACTGAGAAATTTGGCACACTTTTTGTGCCTCCATGACGTGCGAGCACGTCTCAGTATGGTTGCAGTTTCGCTTTGCATCTGGCTCACGCCCTGTTTTTAACCGAGTTTCGTGAGCTCATTGTTTAGTTTAAATTTTCTGTTTGGTTCGTGTATAAGGAGCGGGTTAACTACGGAAGGATCGGGTGGTAAATGCAAACGTGGCCACCTTTATGTGTTCGTTGACATGTGCGAACGGACGAATTCTTCTGGCGCGGTTGTACAAGATACACGCATTTTCCAGTCAACTCCAATTTTTATAGCGTGGCATTCAGTTCCTTCATCTATATAAATCACGTGAAATAAACGAATCATAAAAAGTAGCGGTGCCGTGCACATCTCCCAGGATCACATTTTTGTATGCAAATAAATATTATTATTATTATCATTAAGTAAACCTTGTGCGGCCTGATAACTTATGTGCAGGGTGTCACAAAAGAAAATTTACACGATCTTTTTACCGCAAAAATAAACTAGGCATCGCCGAACGCTCATTCTCCGCCCAAAGGTAGCGCTAGAGGTCACAACCAGATGCCAAAGTTTCAGCCCGATCCGATAACTTAATCAAAAGTTATAAGTTCATTTTCTGAAAATTTCAATGGGAACATGGCGGCCGACGGAGTTTTTAAACACATGGGGCTCTATGGCACCAGAAACCGAAAACGGGCAAAAATGGGCTCCATTTTCCCATTGAAATTTTCAGAAAATCACTTATAACTTTTGATTAAGTAATCGAATCAGGCAGAAACTTTGGCATCTGGTTGTGACCTCTAGCTCTATTTTTGGGCGGTGAATGAGTGTTCGGCGATGCTTAGTTTATTTTTGCGGTAAAAA